TATTTTACAACTTTATTTTCTAACGTTTCTCGCACGATGTTTGCGCTGAATCTTTCGAAAATAATTATTCTGTTATCATTCTACGGTTGTTCTATCGCTCTCAGACTTCCAATGAAGTAATCTTACTGAATGATCACACTCAACATAAAACAGAGATATTTGAAACACTGGGAAATTGTAGATGCATATAAATCTATATCTTTTGTTTGAGTTTAGGATAGCCGTGTTGGAATGGTGTTGCTCGATGGTCAGGGACATGTCGCCTTTGGTTTGGACGAATATACAAATAACTCAGATGTAGCATCCGAAATTCGCAAATCAGACTACAGTGAAGGTGGAACGGACGTCGCGGCTGGAATGCACACCGCTTTAACAGAAGTAACAATTTTTAAATTGCAATGCACAGGAAAAATAGAATGACTACGATATGAACACGTGAAAACAGTATTTAAAAAATAGCGCAAATCATGAACAAAGCCTAATACATGATGTTCATAATGCTAAAGGTTTTCGCGGAAGTGTCAAACCGTGATGCAGTTCCTTCGCCTCCGATCATCAAAAAATGGGCTCCTCCTGGTTTAGCATATTGGGGATTCATCCAATATCTCTGCAAAGTTGTTTCAAATGAGGCCGTTCGAAAGCACGCTGATACGATCACAACGTGTTCGTTTGAGAGAACATTTAAGGTATTTATTATTCGATTATGGGCAATAATTATTTGTTGATGATAATTTCTCAGTTACTTACTTAAAAATACGATCTGCAAGGATTCATATCCACCTGATTGAATGTGTTGGTGTTTGTGGCATCGAAGTGATCAAGAGGCATAGTAATGGTTCCAGCGATGAAGCCTTCAGGATAAGCAGACATATCGATTGGTGCCTGAAAGTTCATCATTCATATCTGGTACGTATTGTGAATTCCGAATCGCATAAGGAAGGATTGAAGATGAATTCGAAATACTCACAGGTGAATCAACAACAAGTCCCCTCAGCGGTCGACCCCAAATGAATGATTTTAAGTGTTCTGGTATCGTCTCCGTATGATATAATTCCTGAAAATTTCGCATTGATGTTAGGGATATGTTAGAATTAGGAATAATCGTTAGCTGTAACAATTCAGAATTTAATAAAATAATTTGACTGAACTCCGAGCATCGCCATTCTCAGACCACGTGAAGGAGTTGATAGGACTTATTGTGCATTGTATGGAGATGAGTAACGATCATGGAATGCGCATTGTATGGAGATGAGTAACGATCATGGAATGCGCATTGTATGGGGTGATTTTCAAGGTTTTGTGTCTCATGTCAACTGATGAAGAATGAAAGATAATAAAAGCCAACAATTGCAGAAGAATTTTAAAAAAATTGCTTTTTATGAAAATTGTCGATTATTGTTGACAAACAAGTGATCAACTTACAATGGTAATGATAATAAAATATACAAATATAATAATAGATATAATAATAATAACAATAATAATAAATCATTACATGGCTTTTATTTTTCACTTACAATAGTAACAATAATAAAATATACAAATATAATGATACAGTAATAATTATCATCAATACTTTGATTAATTATTACTCGGACATTGAGTGGTTGTTTCATCAATCGCAGTGAGCGATCGGCGGAATATTTATTCTATTAGAGTAACGATTATTTATTGAATTGGTATTCGACTGCGTTTAATTATGCAAAGTAT